TTGGGAAAATTTAACCGCGTTAACCGAGTCCAACTCTCGCATAATATCCCCCTCTCCCAAGCGTGGTCGTTCGTTGTCGTCGCAGGATCGCTCTCTCGCACGCGCGACCACCTTAATGCAAACTGAATTATTTACAAGGCGAAGCCGCGAGCTCTCTCTCTCTCTCTCTCTCGTTGGAATCCTCCTGGGAACCATTGCGCCGTGTCTGTACTCCTCGTGTTACGTGTACGTACGGCGCAACGGATTATCCAGCCTCCGAGCATGATGTACAATCTCCATAAATCGACGCGTGTAAGCGCCATCTTTTTTTTTCTTTTTTTCCATCTCCCATTCCTCTCCTCACGGAAATTCATCCATCCCCTGAAAAACCTCGTGCAAGATTCATGCCTGGGCGGGAATAATGCTCGTCACGCTCGAGTATTCGCGCCTCTCTCTCTCTCTCCTTTTCTCGCGCGAAAGGAGGATCGAGGGGGAGGGGAAGAGAGATTTTGTCTCGAGGATCGATGAAAAATCGAAGGAAGGGAGAAGTCGTTCGTTTTTGCGGCGATTAAAGGAATCGAAGATTACGGGAACGATAAGAGGAGATAAATATCTATCGGCCAATCGTCTCTCTGCATCGCTCGTAAAATTAATCGTCCGCCCTCTCCGATCTTCTTTTTTTTAGGAAGGAACCGCGCGATCAGATAGGGACTCGAATCTTGGCATCGATTTCCCTCCCCTTTTTCCTCGAAACATCTCCGTTATATCCTATATTATGGATAGATAAGAAGCGAGCATTTAAACTCTTTTATTATTCCTTGTTTCGAGATAAGGGGAGGGATCAGTCTCGGCTGCGAGAGCCACGGTTCGATTCGAATCTTTCGATCCGTATCCGTCCCGAAGAGGTTATTACTCGCATCGATCGAGGCTCGTTAAGGTCTAACGAGGCCGAAGCTCCGCTCTCTCGATTTCCCGGCGAACAACGAGGCTCTTGCAGCTCTTTGCACGCGCGAAAAACGCTTTCGAGGAAAAGCCATAACCGCTCGTTCGCTCGGTGAACGAGTGAGAATGAATGGGACGAGTTCATCGCGAGTTCCGAGTCTTTTTCCCTTCGTACGTATAAATTCCTTGCTAATTCGCAAAAGAGCGAAATAATTGTACTCGGCTGCCTCTCGGCTCTCGATCGAGCGTGGATAGCGAGAGGTCGCGCGCGATTAATCTCGTTGGAGGGGGATCGAAAAGGGGCCGTGATTCGCACGACCCCCGATATTACAACGCTCGATTCACCCTCCATAAATTGGACGGGACCGTGTAAGTACTTATTGCGCGCCGCCGCCGTCGCCGACCAGAGAATCCCTTCTCCATCCCTTTCCCCTCCCCTCGCCTCGCGACGATGAGAAACAGCGGGGAGAGGAGGGCTTTTCGGCCCTCGAAAAAAAAAAGATAGGCATTAAACCACTTGTCGCGGAATTCTAGGCTATGAAAAAATGAGGGGTGGGTGGAGGAAACGGCGCAAATAGCGGGATATGGAAATCGGAGAGAGAGAGAGAGAGAGAGAGATGGGAGATCGGAAGAAACGCGACGCGTTGGGGATTTCGAAGGGGTTGAACGAACTACTGTCTGGCGAATGCACTGAGAGAAACTCGTTCGAATTTGTTTTTCTCCGATTAATGGCGTCCGGATGATGGTGGAAGGATAGTTGAGAGAGGGACGATCTCTTTTCGAAAGTACTTTCGTTATTTTCTTCCTCGAGTTTTAGAGAAATCGCGCGTATCGATAGGTAGAAGAGGATGAATTTTGCGGAGAGAAGAGGATAAAGGATAAAAACGAGGGAGAGAGAGAAAAAAAGAGGGAAGGAGGAAGAAGAAGGGTAATGTACACAACAGAGTCTAATCGGTTTCTCGGGACGATTAGCGAACAAAGAAGGCACAGTAGGACGGCTATTTGTGGAAACCGGCCAACTGGCCGAGCAGTTTTACGCTCGACCTTCAACTGGCCGACGGCAAAACTCGGGGAACGGCTGCCGGTTTCTCGCGAAGGTCTCGCGTCTTCCATCTCGCCCGCTTCGTCCTCCCCTCCTCCTCTTCCTTCTCGTCCTCGTCCTCTGTTCATTTTTCTCCCGGATCCTGTTCCTCCTATATACGGCTATACGCGAGAGGTTGTCGAGAGGGAAACAATCGAATGGAAAGACTTTCCGTTTCTCGCTTACCTTCCAACGGACGGTTCGATACCCGTCTATCTATATATAGTTGGGGAATTGTGTTTCGTTTGAAAATTTTCAAGGGGACGCCCTCCCTTCTCGAGGTGAGAAAATTTTCAAATTTTTCAGAGGTTCGATTCAATTTTTTCCAATCGAAGGATGTTTTACATTCGAAGGATGAACGATTATTATTATTATTATTATTATTATTATTTTTCATTTTAAATTTTTCACTTTCTTGAGTTTGGAAGTTGCGCGTTTTATCGAATCGAGAGGAGAATTGGTTGGATGGTTGGCGCGCGCGATAACGAATCGAGAGGATAAACGAAGCGTTAATTGCGTAAGAGCGAAGGTGAATTAAACGCGAGAAAATATAAGGATGGAACGGAACGCGTCGTTAGCATACAATGTCGTTGTTTTTTAACACGAGAGAACGAGCAGGAGCGGAACTTGTGGGAATTTCTGATTGTTGCGTATAATTCGTTCCATACTCCCCCTCTCTCCCCCCTGTGGTGAAGTTTGGAAATGCGCGAACATCGCGAGACGACACCAATACCACGATCGGGCGATTACGATTTATAGATGAAAAGTAGGTTAATAGAGATATCGCGACGTAGAAAAAATGATCTCTGTTGCAAGAGATCGGCCAGTGAACGAGCCGCTTTGTTACGAGACGAATGGAGACGCTGTTGACTGAAACTCGTGGTGCGAGGTTCGATTGTAAAAATTGTATAAATCGAAAGAAGGAATGAAAAGATAGAGGCTTAGAAAAACGCGTAAGATATATATATATATATATATATATATATATATATATACACATATATATATATCCGAAGAAAGTAAAGACGTAAGAGGGATAAAATATTCGTGGCAGACAACGGTGTTTAAAGTCTCTTTTACGAGTTATCTATTCTCATTCGTGTGTAGCGACACCTCTGCGCGATGCGTGCAAGGGAGAGGAGAACACTTGTGAACCGACACTCGAACAAACCAGACGTCGATATACGCATCCTAAGTACCCTATTATCATAATTTACATCGACCATTTTAAACCTTGCATCGACTACTTTGCGTTCGTTCCCCGGGAAAATGATGTATCGTCCCTGTACGAATAATAATCTATGAAAATTCTCTTGCTTCCTTAATTTTCACTTTATACTGAACTTAAATTAAAAAGGAAAATAAAATTCGTTTTTTTCTTCTCAATTCATCGAAAACGCCTCGATCGAGAAAATGTAGAAAATTCGAGAGAAAAAGAGGCGTGTTTAATAAAGCCACGTCGATCTCGCGGGCGAGAGCTTTGCTTTGGATCCACACGCGTTATTTAATAGACGAGTGACAATGGAAGGACGAAACGATGGAACTACGTACAGCTGAATCTACTCGTTCCTCCTCTCGCGCAATCCGTCCATCCATTGCGAATCAGCCGTTTGTTACCGTTGGCGACACGCACGTGTGAGAGGATAACTTCCGGTTCGATGGTTCACAACGATCCGAAACGCTGCATCTTTCCAGATTTTCCCTTTTCCTCGAATAAAACTCGCGAATGATACGCGACGCGACCTTTTTAATAAATATATATATACATATCGTGATTATTAGTCCGGAATAATCGAAATTAAAAAAAAGGTTACCAGCTTCGATGATCTCACCGCTTTGCGCGCAACCGCGTCTTAATAACAAGAAATTGAAATCGACTCGGGTAAGAGGCTCGCGATAAATTACGCGCATTACGTATATACCTCGTCTCGCGCGACTGGAATTTCAACAAGATCGAGCCAACTCGTTCCTCTCGAACGTTCTAACTCGCGAATTGTTCTTAATTAACGGATACCGTAAACGCGTGCGATTAGGTTTGCTCGAATCCAGTGGAGAAAGGGGGGAGAAAGAGAGAGAGAGAGAGAGAGAGAGAGAGAGAGAGAGAGAAAGAGAGAGAGAGAGAGATTGAGTTTAATCGAGTTCGCGATTCTTTTTCTTTTTGTTTCTTTCGTTTATACGTGAAAAATCAGAACGAGGCACATGGTTAAGAGATTGGCGCAATTTGTTATATAGGTATCGATCGAGTTTTCTCCTTCGTGAAACTCGTGTAATTTGAATAATCGTTGGATTAACCGGCTCAAATTAGCTTTTTTTTTTGCTTCGAGAAACGTTCTTTGCCTCAATAAACGTCGATCGCGGTTTAATTAACCTATCTCGCGATTCTGAAAAGAATATTCGAAGATCGAAACTCGCGCATGAAACGCAAAAAATGAAGAATAATAAAATTTTTACGCTTTTTACGTTTGAACGAAGAAAAAAAAACCGTGATCGAAATAATGATCTTTCTTCTCTTCCTTTCCACTTTCTGGATGAACATCGCGGCTTAATTAATCTAAGAACGAATCGCGATTTTGAAAAGAATCTTTGAAGAGAGGTCGAAATTCGCCCATGAAAGATGGAGAATAATAGAATTTCCACGGCTTTTACGTTCGAACGTGATGGACGAAGAAAGAAGGAACCGTGGTCGAAATGATGATCCTCCTCCTTCTCTCCACCTCCCCCCACCCTTTCGTAGGCGTCCCGCGTGCCTACGTGCCGGTGTGCGCACTCTCGACGCGAGTGCAGAGTCCCCTTGCACACGTGGCCCCGGACGCGACGCGGAGAGTCGGGCGGTGTACTCGAAAAGTCGGCGAGAGCACAGGACGATCCGGTCGGGACTACTACTACCTATAGGCGCCTGTGCAACCTAGAGTCCGCGCGATTCAGCCGCGACTATAGTGTTTAACAAACGTGCATAGCCAGTTCATTCGCGACCGGCAGCCGGGCTGCACGCTCGGAGAACCTCTTTGTCCGCCGAGTCTATAAATAATTCGCGAGAAACCGAGATCCTGGAGAACGCGAGTCGATCCCACGTCTTTTTCCAAACTTTATCCATCTCGTGATCCGTTTCGCGTTCCTTCCTTCCTTCCTTCCTTCCTTCGTCTCGATCAACTGTTTCCAAGGGAAGAGAAAGAGAGAGAGAGAGAGAAAGAGAGATTCTTTGTTCGGTGGATCCTTGGATAACGCGGATCGACGATGCCTGATACCGCTACTACCACCACCTCGGATCCATGGCGGAGGTAAAAGGTGCGAAAATGTGAAAGGAGAATTTTCTGGCCGTTTCGAGCTGGCCGAGGATCGAGAGAGGAGAGGAGAAAGTGTCTCGAACGGGCATTTTGCCTCTCGTGATGACGCGTGGCCCGTGATTTGACGAGAATAGGAAATTTTCGTGCGTACGTGTATATGTGTGTATATGTGCGTGCGCGTACAACGTCTAATTATAAACATGTTGGGCTGGTGGACAGTGTCTACCGATGAAGGTTCGTTTCCCCACAACCATGTCGAATGAACGGTCTCTGAACGAATTCGAATCGAACGAAAAGTTTGGAAAAGTCGACGCGGATGATGACAGAGCCGCGATCGATCGAGCATGAAATCGATGGAAGGCGAAGGGACGCGAAGCGAAGTGAACAGTGAGCGTCTCGCGAAACATGAACGGGGCCCTCGACCCGCTCGATCCGCTTTGCAACCGGTCCTCCATCGTCGCCATTCCGAACGATCGACAACGAAGATCGCCTCCAACGATTCAACTCTGAATCAAAAACACATCAACTCGAGATTGAGATGGAAAAGGTCGAGATATAGGTTGGATTCCGTGGTACGAATCGGTGGATAAGCACGGGGCGAGCGGGGAGGATACTCGTAGAAACTCGAGGAGGAGTTTCTAGAAGCGACGTCATCGATGTAACGGCCGACAGCGAGACTGTTTATCGTTGGCCTGTCCTTCGTTGACACCGATTAAACGAGGCACAGAGCGACGCTTATTGAGCGGATCACTTCCGAGCGAGCTGGCAGACGAGGACTGGCATCGACTACGCTCCTGTCGATGCCACTTAGAGCGGTTTGCTGCCACCTGCCAGTGTCGGTGACGCGCGAGTGCCTCTCCTTCCCGCATCTTTTTCCAATTCTTCCGTATCTCGAACGTATTGCTCTACTTTTTTTCCCACGATTCGCGCACTCGGTGAACCGTGCGCGGGTGATCGATTCGAAGGTGAAATTTTTCGAATAAGAGAATCTTACGACAGTGACCTTGTACAGTGAACGATCCTCTTCGACTCTCGGCCTCGTTACGCGTTTCGATTCTCCAGGATTCTCCACAGCTCTCGAACTCGATTTTTACGAAGAACAAAGAAGACATTCGTCGAGTGTCTATCGCTTCTGCTAAATTGGACTCGTTTATACGTGTAATTGAGACTCGGCGAGATAAGCATACTTACGATTCTCGATCGCTCTTCTAAATCCCAAACGACAAACGGAATCATTTGTACGGTGATCGTAACGTTCCCAAGCATCGCGCGTCGTTCAAAGCATCTTCGTTTCGACGATCGGATGAAGAACAACGCAATAATAATAATTTATAGAATAATAATTTTTTAGAAATTCGCCTCGATCTTTAATTCGAAGATTAAAGGAAATCGGGTGATCAGCCTCCTTTATTCCCGAAGTCATGTCTTCTCGCAAAGTTGATCGCGATCTCTCTCGAACGGCGATTAAAAATATCCACGATTCGATTCGACCGACTCCGATTTCCACGAAATCGAACGAGACGTGGCTCTCGATCGTTGAACGAACGTCTCGATAAAGAATAATCGAATCCCCTCCAGACTGACAAGGTCGGGCGGGGACGTTCACCGATTCCTCGAGATCCTCGCGGTGCGAAGGCTCGATTCGAAAGAAGCGAGAGAAAGAGAGAGAAAGAGAGAGTAAAAAGGGGGAGGCGAGTCTGGTAGAATTGGAAAAGGAGGATCGCTGACCAACGCGTCGACGAGGAGGACGCGAACACGACATTCTAGCGAGGCACTCTAGCAAGAATAGAATCGAAACGCCACGCGGCGCCACGATTCCCTGGAACGAAGCCTCGCGATCGTTGCACCTGCCGCTATCTGTCAGCCGGGTAAACGCTGTGCAAAACCTTGGGGCTCGTTCGCCAGCTCCTCCAAGAGCAACGAGAGTGCAGCCTGCGTTTCGCTCGACCCTTCTTTCTCGCGGCAGCTGCGTGCGCGTGTGCGCGTGTGTGCGTGCTACGTTTCCTCCTCTGGAACCAGATTTCTCCGCTCGAGAGCGGCGAATTAATTTTTCGCGACCGTATCAAGGGTAAAGAGATTGGACGTTAAGTGAGTCGGAGATCTTCGATGGCGAGGGATCGATGTAAATAGTCGCGCTTTTTTACCAAGAAAAAAGGATAAATGGATCGGTGAACGAAAGGAATAATTCATCGAATCCGCTCAACTTCCTGACGCAAGATTGTTGATCGAAGAAGCAAACTTACGATAGAATAAAATTTCCAGAAATAAAATCTTGTCTGATCGTAACCATATTCGTAACGTTGGAAAAAAAAAATAAAAAAAAAAAAGAAACATCATCGAATGGAACGAAGGTGTATAACGTGAATCATCGGCCGTGTCTGCATTAATCGCACTTAAATTTATCGTGTGATCGCATCGGACAATTTTTCCACGAAAAATTGCCTTCTATAATAATAACAATAGTGGGAAGGAACGGGCGAGAGTCGAAGAGAGGAAAATCCGATTAATCGACAAAATACGATCGGAATCGACGCCAAGTTGGAGGACTCGGGTCAGCCTCGAAGCCACGCCTCGTCGCAAAAGGACGCGAACCGTCGAAAAGAAGCAAGCAAGGACGATCGTGTGGAGGTGGCGCGAAATCGGCGGCCTGACCACAGCCAAGATCGAGTGACGTCAAAGCTTTTCGCTGGAAGCTCGGAAAGGAGGGGAGGAGAAGGAAGGATGCGACCGGATCGCTTTGCGCCTGCTGGAACCGTTAAATATAGCCGGAAGAATTTCCCTGGCATTCGCACGCCCCACCTCGTCCGCTTTGCTCGATTTTCCTAGGCCGCGATTTATGCGAAACGAGTGCGTTTCAACCCCTCTTTCTCTTCCTCGTCATCGTCCACGCTGGTGGAACGTCTACACCACGTATCGAAACAGTACGATTCTACTCGCAACGCTCGACCCTCTCCTCTCTTCGAGATCTCTCAAAGGGTGAAAAAAATGCTGATCACCAAGTACACCACCATTTTGCTCCAGTCCACCAATCAGCACATTCTCAGGTGAGTGATATATGGTTTCGGATCAACGAGTTCGAGTACGTTAATCGACAAAATTGTTGCAAGCGTCGATTCGCGAAATTTCACGCGAATTTGATTGTTTGGGAGTATTGGACGAATATCTCGATATCTTCTATTTTAATAGAAAACTTCTTGTATAAAAATATTTTATACCAATATAAAATCTCGTTATGTCATTGATAATTAGCGTGACAATGATTCGCGAAATTTTATTCATCCATGTAACTAGATACCCAAAAAAAAGGCAATTAATAATTACGGTTACGTAGTCAATACGAATTTCCGAGTGGTAATTGGAACTCTGGTATATCTATCGCGATTTATCTTGGGAAATAATTAAACGGGGTGAGGAACGAGAGAAGCTCGTTGGTCGTTTCTTCCTCGAGAAAATCCATTATAAGAATAACAATCTAATATTTTAGAAATAAATCGCTGGAAGATCCATTTCGATAAAATAGATGTCTCAAAAATCTTAAAAAAAAAAAAAAAGCGAACTAGACATTTCACGTATCTTTTTAATTCACATTTACATGGAATGTCTCGTTTCGATATTCTTTACAAAGAGATAAATCAAGCAAAGTTATAAAGTAAATCGATATTTCTTAAAAAATAGTTTTTCGAATACTCTACACGTCTCGTATACATGTAATTTTCGTTCCGATCAATCCATCTCTATTCCTCCGTTGTTATTTTTATCACTTTCACCCAAACATATGATGAATCATAGCGCACGAGCACAATGGCAGACCGTGAATTGTCGAAGTGTTGAGCAGGATTGCCGTTTACATAGGAGCGGCGAAAAAAAATTCGATCGAACGAGAATTTAAATTGAATGGGATGTCGCGATGCGATTCGCAAGTTCACGGTTATGGAAGTGGATCGAAATTTAATTCACAGATGATAAATCGAACCTCGCGCGAGGGATCTCGAAGCGACGTCGCGTCGTTGAAACTACGTCGCGAATCTTCTCCCTTCCCCTCCCCCCTTCCCGACATCCTTTTTCCCGTCGTTTTTATCGATCGCAAGAGAAGAAAATTCGTTGTATTTTCCCACGTAGTGTTCAAGTTTCCGCTTGAAAAAGATAGCACAACTATATCGCGAGAATGTAACGTGGTTCTCTGCTAACAGAGTTGTTGGGTATTGAAAAAATAACTAGTTAAAAATTTCGAATAAAGATACTTTGAGTAGTTATTTATTAAAAATGCTTGGAATAATATTTATTCGTAGTTATTATAATCGATCGATTTTTCGTACAACCTCGGCCAGTATTTGCAATTATTATTATGTTTTGAATTATAAATTATTGAAATAATTTATCGAACTAACTATTCGCAACTTCAACTAGGAACATAACTGTCAATGTGTCTCTTTATTGGTTTTTTAAAAAAAGTCAAGATCAGGAATGCAGCAACGAGACAAGCGAACGAAAACGGAACAAATTCAACTAGCAAACAGGATATATATATATATTATAGTCAGTCGGCTTTTCGTATAATCTCGGCCATTATTTGTAATTATTATTACATTTTGAACGATAAATTAACGAAATAACTTATTCAAATAACTTTATTCAACTATTAAATTTTGCTGGTGAAAAGAAGTTTCACGGAAGAAATGCGAATCTGATTGCTTAATTTGGAAGGAAATTAGTATTTTTACACGCATTTTTGTTTCTATGTCATATTTGTCACGTGCGCTGATCTAAAACGACAATTTAAACTTCGATGCATTGGCGTAGGCATAGAATCCAGAGAATTCTAATGTATCGATATAAAATGTTTTTTATTTCTCATCAATACGTATAAATTAATTATGATTTGTAATTTTGTAATTTTGTAGTAGTTAAAATAATGATTGTACGTATATAAATAAGCTAGACGTATTATAAATACTAGTTTCGAAAATATTTCAGCTTCCAGTTTTAGACGATTATCCTTAACGTAACTTCATAAATGAAAATAATTTTTACGATTTTCAAAATTCAAATTATAATTCTTCTACTATTACATAGCAATAATGGATAAAATTTAATAGTAAAACGATAAGTTACTTCAATAATTTATCGTTTAAACACAATAATTGGAAATAATTGTAAACAACCGTTGTTATACGAAAAGCAGATAGCTACCATAATAGCTACGAATAAACGTTATTCAAGCATTTCAAAATAACTTTGTTCCCAATTTTAAACTTGCTTACTTTTTTAACGATTTAATGACCAACTGCTACGTAGCTTGTGGTATTAGGATCGTCAACAAACCGTCCGAAGTAGAGATAAGGACCCCTCTTGCCCCTGTGCCGTCCCGCCACGCTTCTTTCCACCAATGAACTACACGAAGGACGAATTTCTTCGATGCGCCGTCGCATGAACGCGAACGAAAACGGTTTACGGGCTAAAAAGTAATTCGAATCGAAACTTGAATTCCTCGTAGCTTCGTCGCTTCTATCCTTCCCACGGGTAGTGAGCAAGGTGCTCACTATCGATACGATTGAAAAGAGAAATACGATGGCGCGGGAGATAGGCGTAAATCTGGCGTGCGAGGCCACTAATGAAAGAGGGCAGGAATTTATCGTCGATATAAATTGTCCCCGGATGTCGGACATCCGGCGGCCGTTCGCCATCGATCGCGTGGCTCGCGAACAGAGAGGGGCGAGGAGAGGGAAAGAGAAAAAACGCACGTTTTGGTTCGGCCTTTATTGGTCTCGAGTGGAAGGCGAAGGCTGAAGTCCGGTTTAATTAGGCGATCGAAAACGGGCCGGGGCGAGAAAGATCGACGCGGACGGCACAATAACGAGAGGAGGCCTCGTTAGAACAGTCCGATCGAATCGACCGTTCTATTTCCCGCTGACAAACGACCCTTCTTCTTCTCTCGCCGCTCTGTTCTTCGCGGTTTCGTGTACGCAATTATCGGCCTGTTGCTTCGGGATAGTTGCCTCGCGCATCGCGTTCTTTCCAATCTCGCGTGGGTGGTTGCAACGATCATTGTCGCTCCCCTCCTCTCCGCGCGTATCGATTCCCGGAGCCACGGACTTTGAACTTTCGAGCTTCGAGGTTGGATTATATATTATGGAATGAATGGAGTTTTGAAGGAAATTTGTGGAGAAAATCCTCCCGCGTCTGAGTTGGGCATTAACCCGTTGAAAAACTAGTTACAAATTTCGAGTAAAGTTACTTATTCGGTAATAATTTATTCGTAGCCATTATAGCAGATCCGTTTTTCGTATAACCGTTTTGACAATTTATTCGCGATTATTATTATGTCGAACGATAAATTATCGAAGTAATTTTATTCGTGAGTTCGATCATTAAATTTTATCCATCACTGAGTGAAAAGAAGTCTCGCGAAAGGAACGCGGTTCTGATTGGTTAATTTGGAGGGAAACGCCTATTTTTATTTCTACCATGGTATTCGTCACGTGTATTAATCCAAAATGGACGATCTTTATTCAGAGTTGGGAATTAATCCGTTGAAAAAGTAACTAGTTAAAAATTTCGAATAAAGTTACTTATTCAATAATAATTTATTCGCAGCCATTATAGCAAATCCGTTTTTCGTATAATCTCGACCGTTTGACAATTATTCGCGATTATGTGGCACGATAATATTATCGAAGTAACTTCAACTACTAAATTTTGCCCACCACTGTCCCACGCGTTCTTTCTTCCACCTCTTTGTACCCCGATCCTTTTCCAAAAATGGCCACCGATCGGTCGACGAAGTACAGGGAGCGAAGCGCACAAAGAACCCGGACGTTTCTGTTCTCGAAATCCGATGACAAGAAACTCGAGGGGGAGAAAGAGAGAGAGAGAGAAAGAGAGCTTCTGTCGGGCGCAGAATGAAGAATATGCTAATGGGCCGCGTGTCGTCGAGCCAAGTCACGTCGTAAAAGGAAGACCGGGCCCCTTCTCGACGGCCAGTCGCAGAAAACCATGCTCCAATATTTTTTCTTTTTTCATTCTTCGCTCTTTCGAGACGGGGCACCCAACTCGAGTACCCCCTTCGATCCGCCCATTGATTATCTCTAACTAAAAATTATTCGCCCTCCGTTGGAAGGAAACAAACGAAAGAAACGATTCTTCGAGGTGGATAAAAAATCCATGGATGGAAAAATAGATTGGATTTTACGAGTACGTAGTAGAATAAAAGTCGAAAGTCGTTGGGGAACAATAAGGAGGTTGGAATGCGATGAACGAGCGTAATGGATAGTAGTTGCAAATATAACACACCGAGGTGTGTTGGCGATTGCTTCATTCCCATTGTATGTTATACCACGATAATTTTATTATAATCGACCTGTTCTCGCCCTTACCTTTCGTTCGCTCGAAACGGAAAGTCGATACGAAAGCGAGAAAAAAGAAGAAAAAATGCATTCACCCCTCGCCAAGTTCGCGTAGTTTCGCGTGGAGACGAGAGCAAGTGACAAAGAAATGCTTTCACGTTGCAGCCGTTGGATGCGTGCTCGGCTTGTTTTCCATTTTCGATTGTCTCGCGCGGCTCGGTGTCGCGAACGCCGGCCCACCTCGATCCAATTTGTCCCTTTGGCCTCGACTCTGGCTACGGCTTTAGAGCCGAAACTTTTAATTAAAAAGTAACCATCGACCGATGGGGAGGGAGGGAGGAGGAGGGACGGCCGGCCTCGAGCAATTTGCGGCGATATAAAAGTTCCCTTCCTGCCCCCTTCCTACAGTTTCGGAAACAAGATGGAGGCAAAAAGCGAAGGAGAAAGCGAAAAACGTCTCCGCGATTCTCCTCTCCTTCGAAGGGAGGGGAAATTTTCACGAAAGCCACGGCGATTTAACAGATCCTTCTAACTTATCCTTCGATTCCCCCGCCATTTTCGTTGGAAAATAGGAAAATTCTTCTCCGAAAGAAAATATTCGAGAATTGTTGCGAGTGTCACGGATTCGTGGAGACGGATCGTGCGAACGAGGAGGAGTCGGGCAGTTAAGCAAAACAACGCTTAATTAATTCATTAAAACG